TTTGCAGAGAGCTGTTGCTCAAAGACAATTCAGCAGTATTTCCTTGGCAGTATGTCAAGAGGAGGAACTACCTTATTGTTGCTGCTTCTGGCAAAGAAATCAGAGCTTTTCCAGTCCACAAATGGCAGAACATCAAAATGTTACAACACTGCATTCCTAGAGCTAATGAGGGGGTTCTTTCATTAATTAAAGATCTATGAAAATACAGAATCCACATTTCAAATTATGCTGTGTAAAGAGCAGAGGGTGGTATTAGAAGTTCTAGAGACTAGAGAGATAAGGCTTTTTTTCTGACTCTTTTTCATTGTATGGCCTTGAGGCAAGCCAGTCCACAAGTCTGCACCTCCATTTCCCCAGCAGAGGCTGGAGACAGTAAGAGCTACCCCATAGGGCCACTGAGAGTCTGAATAGATCACTTCTGAAAGAACTGAGACTGGCATATGGAACTTTGTATATAAGTGTGAAGTAATAGCATGCAAACTAATGAAATATGATCAGACCTGTCACTGCTCATTTTCTGCTGTATTCTCCTTGGAAAATATGTACTGAGTGAGTGAGATCTGAAATATTTCAATGTTACATCTGAACAACCACTGTAAAGTGGAGCAATACTTATTTCAGATTCTAATTTGCATTACCACCTTCTCCATCATTATTATATACATTTTTGCATAGTGAATTGCAGCTTCACACCTGCCTTTTCTTGGCTCCCATTCTAAAAGGCTTGTTTTACCCATTGTTTTCTACTTCCCTTTCCTAAATACTTTATTAGATTGCCAGCATATCTGCATAATGATACCATTCCTCCAATCATATGCTAATTTTGCTCTTGGGCTCAGAACACCTCTAAAGAAAAAGAAGGGTTTTCCCTGTGTGAGCTGTTCCCTCCCTTGCCCTGCCATGAGTTTTCTATGTGACAACAGGCAAAAGCATTTAGGATGTCCTGTACCTGCAGCCTGAATGTCTGTAGGAGCAACCACCTACCTAATCCAGAGGAGCTTTTTCTTCAATAACTTTGGCATTAGTTTAAATCCTTTTCACTCCTGCCTTGGAAATCAATATGTTACTTCAGTGCTGGGCTTCCCATGCAATTCTGCCAGGTTCATCTATATCCTGCAGTCTCCTCACTCATCTGTCCTCACTCCCCTCCCACACCTTGTTCCTCCATGCTAGTACCTCCATCTGCACTCCACAAACTGAAAATACACCAGCTTTGCCTCCCTCTTTTCATCCCAACACAATCCAGTCCTAGTCAGAAGGGTCCTGCTTTTTCAGACTCCAATTTTCACCTTCAGTTGGAAGAGAAAGAGGGGGATTTCATAGTTCTTTGCCTCTGAAAAATGGCTGTGTGTAGTGGGCTTCCTTCTTTCAGGGTTTCCTGTGACACAATGCTTTCTTGGCATCCTTTGCACTCCATAGATGAAAGGCACTTGAGTAGCTGTAGACTTTTCTGAAGGCTACAGGTTCTTTTTCCCCTCCTTTTTCACTTGCAAGTTTTTCTGTAATTACCTGAACTACATAAAAAGGCTACAGAGCCAGGGAATGCCCAGATTAGAAGAACAGATTCCTGGCTCTCCTCCTGTAAGCTTTCTCTGGCTCACTACTTTACCTGATAGGGATTTGCACAATTAAGGGTTTTGGTCCCTTTAGGCACCAACAGGTATGAAGAGGTATGAAGAATTCAGGGCTACAAAAGAGAGATGAATATGAACTTCTACTCACTTATTTTTGCTTGTCTGGGCTTAAAGTTTTAGAGATTAAAAATATTACTTCATACCTTTAAAAGATACATTGATCCTTCTGTTAAATAATCTGCAGTAGTTATTGTCTTGGTTTGAAAAGACAGGAGTCTGTGAAGGAAGGCAAAAGCCTCCTGTGAAATGGAAAAGGTAAACCCCCTCCTTCCGAATTATCACAATTTCAGAATTAAAAGGGCTCTCAGGCAAAGATATGGGAACGGGAATAACAGTTCTTTACTAGGAAGAAAAAAAAACTAAATAACAATGTAATTTAGCACAAGCAAAAAAACCACTGGCAGAGTGAGAAAAACCTGACACCCTGAGAAGTCAGGGTGTTGATAGTAGTCCAGCCAGATGGTGGCTGCTCCTCCTGGAGCGGCGATCTGCAGAAGGGTGTAGATCCTTTCTGAAAATGTGGCAAAGGAGCAGCTGGGCCTCGGTTCCTGATTCCTCTGGGAAATCCAGCGAAGAAGGCTGTCTGTGGTCTCAGAAATGCTTGTTTTATGGTGGCAGGGATGCTTGGCTCCTCCCTCTGGGTGAAGCATCTCCCAATGGGATGATGTAACTAATCTTACCAACCACAGCGGGTAATTCAATAGCCCATTAGCAGGAGATTATCTTCCTGGCAGTGTCATTGTTCTTGAAAGAGATAAGAAAAACTGCCTAACCCCCAACAGATGGCAAAAATAGAATACATGCTTATTTTACAAGCCAGGACAGTTATGAACATGATTCTTCTTTGTGTTTCCATATGTGAATTAGTTGGATAAAGGACATGAGCTGTTTCTTTGCTTTTATTTTTAGTTCAGAGAATAGCCATCCTCATGCCTAGATGTCTTGAAACAAAAATACCTTCCTGGGATTAGCAGTGTTTTGAAAAACTTCTACAACATTGTGGAAATATTCAGATGGGCTAATTGCCTCCAACTAAAACACCTGCGTTCTGACTACCTACATACTCCATCCAAGCACCTAAATGACTGTGTATTATTCCATGCATTTTTTTCCACCCTGTATTTCACTGTTCATTTCCACTCTATGGTGGGAGGTGTGGCAGAAAAGGTGGATGTGCTTGTGTTCCAGGTGTGTTTGGGATTAGCATGGTGTGGTGTACAGGAAATAAGGTACAGAAAGTAGCCACACTTCTGGGTGTGTGGGCAAGGTGTGTGTTCACTGTGGGAATGATGTGGGATGTGAGGCATTTTCAGCCCTGCTCAATGGTTGCAAAATGTCTTTGAACCCCAGGTCATGGAGATAGAGGACGGCTGCTGTGTGAGAAAACATCTCTGTCATCTCTGAGAGAGAAGGTGGCTGTAGGGTTGCCAGAGGGTGGGGAAAGTTTCCTGTTCCTGCTGATTTTGCTGGGAAAAGGGCAGGTGCTAGTCGAGTAATAGCAGGATACCAGAGGACACAAGAGGCAAAGAAAAGGTAAAGGGTTTACACTATGAAGAACTCTCTTTGTACAAGTGTATACACCATGAACTCCTGATTTCCCTGACACATCAGGAAACACTCTCAAGTTTTGCAGGCAGTTGCCATCCTCTTGTCACCCCCTGTGCTCCATCAGTCCCTTGGCAACAGCATCCATAATCTGCTGAGCACTAGCAGAAGGGATCCTATTTGGGAGAGCAAAGCCAGATTTTCAGCAGCAACGATACAGTCTTCAAATTTGGTGGCAGCTGTGACACTTGCCACATGTGCTGGAAACACTGAGTGGGAATGCTTTTGCTCTAGTAAACAGCAGAGAGTTAAATCCTCTGCAAACAGTAGAGATTTATTAACGTAGGGATTTACATTCACTGACCTCAAGGTCTGCTGCTACATGGAAAATGGTAAAGGGGTCAAGTAGCAAGCTAGCAAACCCAAGGTTTTATCAGCCTGAAAAGGTTATATCAGCTGGCTCAAGGATAGTGAGGCACAAAAAATGCTGCCTCCTGAAAGCTCTCTAGGTTTCTGAATGGTGTGTGGACACTGCAGGAGGTAGCTCAAGTGATAAAGAGAGGGTTATGACAAAAAGCCAAAACAGGGTCCTGAGCTCTGACAAAGACTCCTCCCAGATATGGGGGGAATAAAGAGTGGTCAGGAAATGAATCAGATCAGTTTTTCCTTCAGCTGATAATTCAGTACATTCAACCTTATTGCAGTTCTAGCAATGTCCTCCCTTGAAAGTTAGGATCTTTATGTTCTTCCCCTGCTTCCATGTAGCACTGTTTTTAGCATTCATTAACAATCTTTTAATTCCCAGAGAACAGTACAACACGCAGATAGCATTAGCCAGAGTGCAAAATCAGGGAGAATCAGACCCTTCCTTTAGGGAAAGGTGCTGCAAGATCCAGCTTTTTCAGTAGAATATTAACTAATTCCTGTAACACATCTATATCCAGGCCTGGGCTGTGCTTTGGGATGGCTGTAAGCTTCCAGGAACATAAACACGTCCTAAAGACTGGCAACAAGAGCTGGGGCAGCTGTTTTGCATGGTCAGCTGTGCTCTGCTTGGGTCAGTCCTGCAAGCGCCATGCCAACAATGAGCTCTCCAGTCACTCTCTGTGCCTCACCCTGGGGAAGCATTCATCTGAGTGACAACACTGAGCTGGACTTTCTCCCTTTGGCAGTCTTATTTCTGTTTTAATTGGTGTTTCTTTAATCTCAGACATGACTGTTTTATGGAAGTGAAAACATCAGTATTCAGCTGACTTGGGACTTTTTATATTAGTCCAGATATGTCCTTCATAGTGATGTTGTAAGGCCCCAAAATAAGTGATCTCTTAACTTGGGTAGTCTCTGCTCCAGGAAAATATTTTCTTCAAAGGAAAGCATCAGGATGACTGGAGAAAGGATCCCAGGTGGAGCAATAGTGACCAAGGGAGAGTATTAATTATTTAACCTCTCTAAACCAGCTGAGCTCATCATTTCCCCCGGGTCTTGCTTTAATACCATTTCTATAGCCCACAAAACAAAGGTTATAAATAAAACAGCCTTGGAGCACAAGCTAATATTCCACATTTGGATCAGGTAAATTACATTCAGCAATGTACTGGCCTGCACATTTTGTGTTAGTGCCTCTCAGCAGTGGAACTGATACAAACATGCAAAGCAGCATGGCAGGTACAAACTCTGTGGCACCATTTTCTTAGGAAAGGGGTGAGAGGGGGGATGAGAGGAGGAGTGGGAGATGACTACTTAGATATACTTTATACCACTTTTCTACCTGAGCCAGCAAATGATACCACAATCCACACAATCCACACAAAAAAATCTTCGAAACTAAAATTCAAATTATTCCAGCTAATAGTGTATGGTGCATCTGTGCCCATCTGGCTGTAGTCACAGCACCCTTCTGCCACACAGGGACAGCTTGTTTCAGTCACAGTGGTAGATATGAGCTCAGAAATGGCTGCTCCAATGGACAGGCTCCAATGCAGGATGAATTACTCTCCTCCTCAGTAGTAGCAACAGAAGCTCTCACAGTGGCTCCCCTCTGTATGCAGTGGGAAGAGAAAGTCCTATTAAGCATAGCAAGTTTTATGCCTGTGGATTTCAGTGTTGTAATCTTGACTTTATCACTCCAAGCAACTCCCTCGCTCAGTGCTCAGGGCTGGAGCCAATGGTCCCCCTGAAGCATTGCCATGGCCCATTCCTGCCCCCTCAGCCAGAGGGACCCACACAAACCACAGGTGATATGGAAGGAGGGAGGGGCAGGAAGTGGCATGTCTGTCACTGCTTCTGCAGGTGACAGCATGCATCCCTTTCCTCTTCACACACTGCTACGGCCTGGCTTGGAGTCAGCTTGGTGCTGAACAAATGGCACCCCCTGGTTTTGCCAGCTCCCAGCAGGACTTCTTCCCCCTCAGTGCACAAATATTCACAAGGAAAAGCAGTCTCATTTGTCACTACTGCAGGCTTCTTTTTCAAGGAATCCCAGATTTCCTTATCTTTGCTCTCCTACCTTTAAAGGACCTTGTGGCATGGCAGGCACCCTGGGCCTCTCCCACTTCTTCCCATGGGGAGTTCCACCTCAGGCTGGGCTGCAGTGACACAGGATGGATGCATGGCTTCGTGAGGGACTTGGCTGGCACAGCACATGGGACTTGTCCTACTGCACCCACCCGAGGCAGTGGGGCATAGCCAGAGGAGGTGACCAGCCCCATCCATAGGTGACAAGGCAGGAATCCTGCCAGCCTGCCAGGGCCTGGCAAAGGCAGGGCTGAGGGCAGAGCCTCAGTGGGCCCATGGCTGTGCAGGGCTGAGGGCAGCTGCAGGCCAGCCCTGCTGGAGCAGCACCACACTCCTGAGGGGCTGACAGGGACAGTGCCAGGACAGATATGAACAGTCCTGGGCCATGGGCATCAGGACAAGTGGCCCAAGGTGCCTGGCAGGGAGAGGCAGGGCTGGTGATGTCCAACACCCCATTACTGTTCAAGGCCTTAAAATGGCAGAAAATGCATCAGTGTATTCATTATGCATCTTAAGACTCTTACATCATCCAGGTGTAATTGAAGATCCCACTAGTGGCATAGCAAGACACAGCTAGGTGTGTATGTGACAGTACCACCAAAAATAGGAGAGATGGGACTTGTCCTGGTAGACAGGAGAGAATAAACCTGGGGTTGTGGGAAAAAGTAGCAGTAAAAGTTCTGGCAAAGCTGTCCCTTTATTTATAAGCCCATATCAGGAAGAAATGCTAGTCACCCATTTTGGACCTATCTGTGATTTTCAAATGCATCTTTATTGATCAGTTGATTAAGCTCTAGTCTGAACTTTATTTTACAGGAACCTGCAGCTAATCAGCACAAAAAAATTACCATCACCACCTCGTAAAATACTAGCGCAAAAACAGAAATGCCACAATTCAGTTGAAAGGACTGGAAAAGAACTAAATTAAATCACAAACTCTACACGTAACAAACAGTTGCCATTAGTCCCACATGTCATTTAAACCCAGCAGCAGGAGAGGAGGACTGAACACAAAACCAAGCACCCCAAGTGCCAACTCTTTCTCCCCTGAGTGTGCTTAACCACGAGCTTGGCATGAACAAGTGGGACAGCAGCAGAGAGATGCACACCATCTGCCTGTGTCTTCTCTTTTATGCTAGAAAGCCTCCTGGGTCTGTCCTCTGCTTCAGAATATTCAGAGCTCACTAAAACAAGAGATTGATGCAGATTTGCACCCAAAGGATGTGAAGAAAGCCTGGTAGCTGAAGGAGAGTGAGTCTAAAAGAGAGGACTGAGCAGTGCAGGCAGAAACTGAAGTTATCCAAGTTGGCAGTAGGTACAATGCATCCAAACACATTTATTCCAGATGAACACAGGATGGAACAGCAAACCTGAAGTTCAGGATGTAATACTGGGGATATTATGCCAACCATCACATCATCTGTGCCCTCATTTTCTGTCTGCCCATTCTGACTACTCTGTCTGCATCCTTTGTGATTCTTCCCTTCTTTCCCATTCTTCTGGTACTTCCCACCCACACAGGCAGTAACCCTCCCACCCCACCTCCCTCCCTGACCTTCACACAGTCATGCCCGCATCTCCCACTTGACACTCCCATCAGCTCTCCTGCTTCATGCACCTCCATGTAACAACACTAAGAGAAAGCTGAAACGTCATTTCCTGTTCCCCACACTCAGAGGAGCACTCATCTTGATTTCTCATTCCTGAGGAACATAGGGAATGGTGATCTAACTTTACAAGTAAGTAAATTGAGTAAACTCCTCCAACTTAATTTGGAATTTACCTGTATTCTCCATCCTTCTCATTTCCTCCCTCTTGGTCCCTCTCTTTTAAATGTAGGAATGTTTACAGTAATTCAGGCCTGATTTTTACATAAGACCCCAGAATTTTCCTGGAAGTCAGCTCACTCTCCAAGACCTATTCCATCATAGTTACAGCAGTCATGGGAAAATGTGCTGTTTGTGCCACTGAGAAGAAACTGCTTTGGCATGACAACGTAAGGCTTGCACAGCATCTGACACCCTTCTAAGAACAACACCGGCTCAAAACAAAGTAAGAAAAAAATCTAAAGATAACCTATTCCCTTTTCCCTTCAAGTCTAAAAGAACCTCTCTTGTGGCACAGAGAGGCACTGTTACCCAATCACAAAAAGCCAGCAAAACACATGCGGCAGTGACTGATTTCCTACGCTTGTGCACATGGTGCAAGGGCTGTACAGGGATGAGACATGGAAGGGAAGGCTAAACCCACAGGAACTCTGCCATCCTCAAATCTGCAGAAGACTGGTACAAAGACAACACTGATAGATAATTTTCTGTGTTCACCAAAAACAAGACCACTAGTAGTTAGTTACCTTAATGCACAGCAAGGGTGACTAAAGTTAGGTATCAGGAAAAGCAATCTCACTTGTAGGCTAGCTAGGAACTGAACAGACAATCTCAGCAGCCTCCAGGATCTTCCTCAGTGAAGTTCAGTAAAGAACAAGTTTGATGAGAAGCCATGGTGGACATGTTTGGGATACTCAGTCGTCTCAGAGCTGGTGTGGGCTCTTGAGGTCCTTTCTAGCCCTGCGCTTACAAGTTTATCAGTTGACTACACTGAAAAGAACAAAAGGGTAATTTTTCTGTCCAGCAGTTGCAATTAAAGCAACAAAGGAAAAAAATTGCAGAATTTTTCCTTCCTTTCCCCAACCTTCATGTCTTATAGCTGAGGAGTTCCTGGCCCTCAGTGTAAGCCCTTCTAATACTGATGAACAGAGCTACTAGCCCTTCTAATACTGATGGAAATGATGGGAAACACAATACCCTTGGAACAATTCACAGGTAGTAGCTGGAGTGATGACTGTCAGCACAGGACAGCCTTGTGTGGGCAGAGTGAAGTATTTCACAGTTCACTGAATGGGAGCCATGGACAAGACAGGACAAGGTCAGTGTACAATACATGGCATGCCTTCTTCATCCAATGAAAGGATTACATGAAAATGGCCATCCTGCCCAGTCACTCTCCTTGAGCTTCACTACACTGGCTTGTCTAGCAGCCTCCAGCACTAACTACTTCCAGCTGTGGCAAGAGAAGAATTGTGAACAGTGGAGTTTCCCCAACCCCCCCAGTGTGGAACCTCTCCTTAATCTTCAAGCTCACCCTGTCCCCCTACCCTGACTCCCCTCAATTTAAAAAATAATGGTGATAATGTGTGGAAGCTGGTGACATTGTGCATGTGGTTCACTTCCAGTTCTCTTTTTCTCTTCTCATGCATCCTCCTCCTGCCTCTCCAGCAACCCTCATCCCCGCCAATCCATTCCATCAGTCCATCCAGCCTGCATGCCTGGGGGGCTGCTGCTCACTTGCCATAGACACTCTCATCGCTGTAGGCCACATAGAGAAAATAATCCTCCTCATGGTTATCCTGCCAGGGGACAAAGAGACAAAGTGAGGAGCCAAAGCTGGAAACTCACTGCATGTGAGAAAGCTCAACCCAGAGATCATTGTAACATGAGCAGGTAACTTCTTTTTCACTGCTCCTCTCTGTTTACATCGAAGGCTTCGCTTCCTAAGACCAAAGAGAACTCTGGTCACAGCTCTGCTTCTACACACAGGCAGGACGCATTTCTGTACATAGGGAATTTACTTGAAGAGCCACAGCCAGGCTGAGTTGCAAGCATGCAACAGAAACAGCTCTGACTGTTCACCAGTATCTCAGCAGTGGTATGGTCTTAAGATTGAGAGAGAGACTTGGAAGGATTTAGCAAGTCAAAAATCACCTCTAGATGGTATTTTTTTCAGAACACTTTGACAAGTGGCTGTATTTCTAAGTCCTGTTTTACATACGAGCAGTAGAGCTGATATGTTAAGTGATTACACTGACACAAAAATTCTGTGCTGTGCCAGCAACAGAGATCTGACCTCAGCTCTAGACATCAGACACTTTCCTTCAGCGTGTTCAGATTTGGAAAGCATCCTGCCTGTGTTTTCTTTTATTATCTTCATTAGTATACAGACTGATGAAGTGTCCAGTTACTGCCAAAAAGTGACAATCCAAACTAGGCTCACAGCACCATGCTGGAGCTCTTTTATTAAAACACCCAGCTAAAGGAGGAATAAAGGAGAAATCAATCCAGGCTGCAAATCACCCATGATATAATGGCTATGGAACTGAGAAATATGGGCATCCAATATGTCTTTAAGGTTGTTCAAATAACACTGCTAAGTAGAAATAGTGGGCAGCAATGCTCATAGCATCCTACATAATCCTCACTTACACAGTGCAAGTGACGAAAGAGTAATTCTAGACAAAGAATAAGTGTTCCATAAGAAAGTATTTCTAGACAGATGGATGCTCAGTGATACTGGCCCTTTTACTAGCTTTTTACTTATTTTTACTGGCTAAAAGGAAATCTCTTTTGTATACACAGCCAAACCTATGCTCACCACCCTCCCCAGCCCCAATCTCTGAAAAGGAAGTGGTTTATTTCAATACTTTGTTAAAGTAGTAGGAGCAATATATCATTGCTGGGGCAAGTATTTGCCACAACCCTTTCAACTAGCAAACAACCAGTTGAATTGATAAGGCTCCCCAGATTCCTGACTGGGGGATGGAATTCCCCACACCAGATGATGGGATACAGCTCAGGCAAGAGGGTGCCCATGTTCAGGCATCTGTGACCAAGCTGAAACCACTGACACTTCTGGACATTGCTCTTGGCAGTGAAAGGCAAGAGAAAAGGGCCAGGCTTACCTCATACAGCTGGCCCATGGTAGCACTGGTGGGAGGGATGGTGTTATTGACGAAGAAGAACAAAGCATCTTCCGGCCTCAGGTGGATCCGCTTTCGGATTAAGAAGTAGAATTGACCAACTGAAGAGGAACAAAGTATGCCTTAAGATGCAGAAGGAATGTTGGAGGGGTTTTTTTTGATGTTGTTGCTGTTTATTTCTATATTTTAACCCTAACCATGGCTGTTTTCTTTTAGTGGTGGAAGTCACATATTGTATATAAAAAGTAGGGGAAAATGAACAATGCAGGACAAAAAGCAAGAGAAGAAAGCAGTAACTTCATGACTGTAACCACATGAGCAGCCAATCCAGTCTGAGCTGGCAGTTTGTCAGGTACACATCCCATGCCATGTCCCCTCTAAATCCACACTCCACCTACTATGGTATGAAATGCTATACTGAGGGTAATTGGTGGGAAGACCTTTAACTAGCTTAACCTTTAGATTCTACAGATCAAAAACACCTTAAGAGAATTTAGCCTTGGTATATATGGTTATAATCATTCCTGAAAAAAAAATCCTTATTATTTACTACTTTGCACAAGAAAGTTTTTCAGTCCATTAAATACTGCAAGAGGAAGAAGAAACGCTGTTCCTTTAACTCATTAATGTTCTTAAATAAAAACAGATGTAAAAACACAATCAAGATCACCATGACCATTCAGAAAAAGAACCTTGTAACTATGACTACAGCTACAGGGGTGGAAAACGTGGGGACTATTGCAAGAACTTGTCTCTTCCTGCAACAAGAGCACAGCCTCTGGCAACTCCGCAGCTAAGTCATCATTGACTGGCCATGACATTGTCCATGATACATAATTTAGTTAGTCACTGTTGTCATGGTTAGAACTCAGTTGTGACACGCTACCTAAGCCAGTGAGATACCTCAAAAGATCTGAGAGAATTCTGCCTGTTGAAATCCAGGCTATAAGGTAGAAATATAACAAGGACAGCAGACAAACAAGATGTTGAGCCTATCTGGATATTTTCTTTGTGCTGATCACAGAGTAAAAAGCACTTCTGAGACCCTCTCGCTGAAGATCAGGAGGAAAGGAGGTAGACATTGTTACCTGTGAGGTCGGAAGGTACAAGATACTTTCTTTTGTCCAAGTCAGGTACTCTGGCTTTGGGTGCTTTTTCCACGATTACCTGTAAAGAGAGAGAGAGAAAGCAAGAAACAGATGAGTATCATAAACCAAAACAGTCCAAAAAGCAACAGTGGATAAGGACATTACCCTCTGATGGTGTTACTAGGCCTTTAGGTATATAATCTGTAACAAATACACAACATTAAAGAATACATAGGTGAGATGACTTAAAGAAGAACAGAAGACAATCTAAAATCACTCTCAATAGCTGTGCAGGGAGCCCAGGCCTGCAGCTGTAAGCATGGGGAGTGAAAAAAAAGAGTCCAGAACAGACATAAAAATAAACCATAATGGCTGAGAAAAAAAAAAAATAGGACACCTTGATGTTCCCAGTTCAGGTTAATTTTGTGAGAAGCAGCTGTCAGGAGGCTAATACATGAACACAAGCAAGTAAAACGGTTTCCAGGTTACAGTTCCAAACTGCCCTGCACAAAATCAGCCCTACTCCCAGTAGTCCCGCATCCTAATTTCTACTTTCACCAACACCAAGTGCTCTAGAACGAAGCAAAGACTTAAAGAGAAACTACAGCTCACTGGGGATTTTTTTTTAAATCTCCAATTCTTCAGGAGTTATTATCTACTCTGAAATTCATATCCTTTAAGTTTATTATCCATAGTTCACATAACTATGGACATTTCCTCAGTCAAGTAAACAAACATACAATAATTAAAACCAGCCTACCATCTGGGCAACTGGATCCATTGAGATCTCTTGACAAAAATACTAATTTGTTTATATTCTAACGCAGAAAAATACAAAGCTCAGCAGCTTTAAGATCAAACAGACCAAGAGGTCTTTTGCTAAAAAACGTAATTTTTGTTAGCAGAGTTAGGCAAAATATTTACCTCAGAAACAGGAATTATTCCAAAGTGACCTGATCTCCTTTTCCATTGAAACCTTTGGAACTACTGCGTTTGTGCAGAAAAAAGCTGCAGGGCTTTTTTTTTTTTTTGTTATATGTATTTTTGAACTGGTAAAAGATACATCATGTTTCAATCTATGCGGCTTGCTGTTCTGCAGAAGCCATTCTTACCACCCAAACTAAATCTCTGGATTTTCTGAACTTCCTAAACTTTTAAATTTCCTTAGGTCCCATAATAGTGAATACTCCAACTGAAACACTGTGGGACTAATTTCTAAGGGTTCCATGCTCCCATTGCTCTTTGGCAACCCAAATCAGCAAATACAGCTGCTGTCTAAGAAAAAAGATTGAACTGCTGTGGACTAAGCATTCTTTGGAAGCAAAACAATGTTGCCCCACCAGTGAGACACCACACCAGAACAAAAAGTTATCATGAGCTTGGTGTATTTATCCTGGACATGGTGCTGTGCTAACCTCAATCCTTCTAGAGCCAAGTGAGTGTCTGCAAAATATCTCACACCAGAGAGGTCCGAACTAGGACATTTTTTCTCTGTGCTCCATTTGAATGTGGCCAGCACAGCCAAACCCCCTGAAATTTCCGTGTTTGATTTTAAAATAGAAACAGGGTTGCCTCAGCTACTTCAAGATTTCCAAGTACCTTCGTTAGCACAAGGCACTCAAGCTCCTTCAGGCAGTTTGAGGTAGGACATACATTTCTGTACAAGATGCAGTTGGTAAATGCTGAGGAAAGGACACTACCCCAATCTCACTGAACAGCAACAGCACTTCTCACATTTATTACCAGCACAGCCAAACAAGGCAGTATCTAACACAATTAACTGCAGTGGGGAGTTCTTGCCTCCAATTAAAAAAACCTACTGACAAGCCAAACTGCTTGCTGTGACTACCCTAACTGGGGCGGGAAGGGGAAGGAGTGGCTTGTAGATTGATCATTAGATAGCAAAGGAAAAGAAGTCATGCCTATGTGAATGAGGTGAGTGTTAGGGCTTATAAACCCCTTGGAAAGGTTTAAATCAGATCACCACTGATTTAAGAAATGTTAAGAAACATCTCCCTCGTGCAAAGATGCACAGAAGGAATGGAGGTGCTGTGCTAAGCTGACTGGCAACTGTAGTCAGTTTGCTGGATAATGCAGGTTATCTCTTCTGAAGCACTAAACCCTTCACATATCTAGACAAAACCTACAAGGAAAATCCTAAGGGCAGAATACAGACTATCCACATTTGAGCTGCTGCTGAGTAGTGACTGTGGTAATGCAGGGCAGTGAAATCTCATCAAAATGCTGAGATGTATCATGGCACTGCAGCGTAGGCTGCCAAAAGGATGATATCTTCAAGGATCCTGCTGTCAGGAAAGGCAGACACAGAAGCGATGTGAAGAACAGAGTGCTGCATGAACTCTGGGCCTTGCTGTGCATCATTCCAATAATCCTTAACTTCAGCACACCCTGTAATTCTGGTCCTGGTTTTCTTCACAAAGTTCTGCTGATGCCCCCTATCCTGACCTCCATTGCGTCCTGCCAGACTAGGCCTTGTCCTGTGCTCCCCACAGGGTTCTTCCTGACACATTTGTCATGGCCTGCTGTGCAATCTGCCACATTAATCCTAAATTTACACCTTCTCTCTCCACCGACCTAGAGAGCCCCCATCATAAATACCCAACCCCACACACTTCAAGCTGCCCTGCTGCATGCTCAACCTATGCTATGCCAGGCCTCCCAAACACAGAGAAAACAAAGGCACCCAAATACTGACTTCCAAAAACTTTTTCAGGTCTATTTGAGGGTCACCCCCAAGACAAACATGCTGCTAGCCTGCAGGAAAACATGGGGTGTAACTGTTCCCCCTCTGTCATTAGTTTTATAGGGGGGGGGTCCTAGTTTTTTTGAAAGCAGTACACCTGTGCAGTAAATCTAGGGCAGACCTCTCCAGTGGGGATGGAAAAAAGTAATACTTGCAAAATGTTTATTAAAAAGGAAAAAAAAACAAAAACCCTACACTTAATAGATTTTCTTCTTTTTGTCTTTTTTTTTGGTCCCAATAATTATTTGGAATTACGAAGTCAGAAGTTTTCCACTGGCACTCCAAAGGGGCCTAAGAATGAGGAAGCAAAATTTAGCTAGATGACCTTGCATTCCAAAAGACATTTTCTCCACAGGATGCTTAAACAGGAGAGCAAAAGGATTGAGAAGTATCATTTTTTTGCTCGCAAAGGAAAAGAGAAAGGCTATATCGAAAAGACAAAACAAACTGAAGCAAAATAAAAATAACAAGGACATATGAGATGACCCGGATGCAGACCATGTTTAGTATGAAGAGTACCCAGTTAACCCATTCACTGATCTCCATTTTCACAGAAACAAGGGTGAGCTTCTTGCCCACTCACCCCCATCCATGCCAGAAAACGATCAGCAGGGTTCGCATTATGGAATTACTGCGGATCCCAGGGAAAAAGGTGTGTTTCACCCCCCACCCACAATGCAGCCCTTCGCGCACCATAAATAGACCCAGCTTCGCACTAAGGAGGAAAGCAGCCGGGGATTTGAATCAGAGCAGCGAGATCACGATCATCTGCACTAAACTCATTTCTTTCGCCTTCAAAATAAGACAAGCAGCAGCCGACGGCCGGCACGGAAAACAAAGGCGGCCGAGCCCGGGCTCGCAGCCATAGCCGCCCTGGCAGCGCGCACTCACGGGGACTCTGTCGGGGTATTTCTTCCGGATCTTCTCCCCTTCTTTTTTCCTGTACTCGAACGGGTGGTCTTCCTTGTACTGGAACTTCATGGCGCCGGGCTGTCCCACCGCTCGCGGCTGCGGCTGCAGCTGCCTGCGACCCGGCCGGCGCTGCGCACACAGCTCCGCCCGCCGAGCTCCGGGAGCCGCCCCGACACAGCGCCGCTGTGACGTCACGGCCAGGCGTCGCCCCGACCCAGCGGCAGGGGGACGCTGCTCGGAGGAGACCCCTCCGCCCAGCCGAGCCGTAATGTCACGGGGAGGTGCCCCCCGAGCCGAGCCGAGCCGAGCCGAGCCGAGCCGAGCCGCGCTCTGACGTCATGGGGAGGCGCCGCGGTGTTCGGGGAGCGGTGAGGGGACAAAGAAGGGCGCGTCCTGTTCGTCTGTTCGTGCACCGATTTATTGCCCGGTAGAACATAAACAAACAAACAAATAAATACTTAAAAGCCGCTTTTTTCTTTCTTTTCTTTTTTTTTTTTTTTTTTTTTTTTTTTTTAATCTTAAAGGCAGCAGAGCGCCACCCGCCCTCCGCAGCGTGACTCAGGGTTATAAACACGGCCCCAGCCGTGCTGGGGCACAGCACCCGCCCTGGGGGGACATGGCTTGGGGCTCCCCGGGTGAGGCCTGAATGCCCCCGCTGGTCCAAATGAATGTGACCTGCGCTCTCTGTGGCTGCGAGATGTAACATGTACACACAAAAATAGTTGTTTGTTCTCGGACCGTCCCCGTGACTGCTGGATCTGGGCTGTTGCCTTATTAGTAGCATGTCGGCGGCAGAAAGCATGCCATGTAATGTGTCACACCAGATGCATGTTGCAAACAGCAGACAGCTAAAGGTCTGCAAACAAGCCAAAACAGCGAGCCAATTTCAGCCCAGTTACTCAGCTGGCACATACAATATCTGGGTTTTTTTTCCCTTAGGAGTAGATAAACTCACAATTATTCACTGATCAGCGGAAGAGCAGCTATTAATGAATGGCTCAGCATGCTCAAATCAGGATAAAAATCAATTGCTGCTACCCTAGGGACAATGAGTTGGATTGTGTTAAATTACTTTTTCTTTGCATACTTTACCTAGAGGAAGCAGAATTTTGCCAAGGCTGATCTTTTATCGGTGCAGGTGTTTTAGCTGTAGCAGAATGTATGTGGAACAGCCAGATGCATAAGGTGATTCTCCATGTCCACACCAAAGGCAGAGGTAAAAGACAGATTTCCTAATTCAACCCCATGTCTTGACTGAGGATGAGCAGGGGTAGGAAAAGGTGTGTTGGGGTGTGATTTTTCTCACTTGAATCATGACACCTACTTTTGGATAGCTGAAGTGTGTCTACAAAAAACTCTGGCAGGTCCTTTACTTTCTAAGCTTTTATTACTGGTACTTTTTTTATACCAAATACTTTTATTAGTATGGGGTATTGTGACCTCCTGCTAATAGTCAGCTCCAGCAGGTGCATGCCCAAATCTCCTAAGGATCAAGCAGCCCACAGTGGGAATGTCACCAGCCAATATGTCCCAGCCTTCACTAGTTTGTGTGCATCAGGTTTGTACAGGAAGCACCATCAACATGTCTGTCCTAGGGCATGTAAACATTCTCCCATGGTTGCCAGGTCAGAGGGGTGAGTCAGAAGGAAGGAACTGTTTTTTGCAGTCCCATAGCAAATAGCTTGGATTGAAGGAACCCCAGGGTTTAGACCCAAGGAAAATTTTGGTTTCATGGCATTAAACTTTTATATGAAGCCTGTGTTTGGCCTCCTTGCTTCCTAATTGCCTGCAGCACAGCAGTGCTGAGGTGTACTGAAGGTCTGTAGTGATGCCTCTTCCACAAGCACAAAAGAGAGGAAGGTTTCTAGCCTGTTTCACTTAAGCCACCAACATATTCTGACAATTTAAACAGACTGATCTCAAACTCCTCTTACCCTGTGAATTGCTGTTTTTATTCTCAGGACTGCTCCCAAGGCAGCTAAGGTAACACCTGGTTTTAATTTCTCATGTCAAATCAGAGAGAAGTGACAGGTTTTTTTCCTGTTCTGATGCAAAGACATGACCCTGTGAGCAGATTGCTAGGTGACTTCTCAGCAACTCCCCTGACTGAAGTCTCTCCCTGCCCTGATGGTGCAGCCCTGGATGTGCAGCCCCAAGACTCGCTCTTCCTGCTTCCCCTCTTTGTCAGGCACTGAATTCCCAGCTCTCTCCTTCAGCTTCAATAATAACAATAACATCACTGGCCAAGCAGGCAGGAAGATGATACATGCAGAAGCAGTGACAAACACCTAAACATGTGACTCAGGGTTGTTAAAATGTCAGCCCATGTGCATGTGACAAACCCTATGTTCTGGATTTGTTTGCCAGAGGGAGGAACTGGAAATGGTGTTGGCTAATTTTCCTACCCTGGGCTGCCAGCACAAGTGCTCCTTCAAGGACTGTCAAAACAATATATTTCTTCTTCATTTAGAGTGTCAGAACAGCTCTGAGCACATACTGTACTGCTGTGTCTGCAGGTCATGTGGGTACATTCTACAAGGGATTTCCCAAGCATTGGCAATGCTGCAATCATTGGAGCAGGAGACAAAAATATTTGCACAGAACCTGGGGGCATGTTTTGCAGTCTGTGCTGTACTATACAGTCCTCCTGCTTATAAGTCTGGAGTCCCTAGCATACTTATTTCTTTATTACCTCCCAGTGGGTAATTTATGCCTCTACAGACTGATTTTTAAATTTTTTTAAAATCCTAATTGTGGACTCTGCATATCCAAGTCTCTTTTGTCAGAAAATTTGTGCTTTGTGGTCTGAATGGTGATTAAACCACAGATGGCATACCTGAAGGCACTCATGCTTCTGATCTGCTCGCTGCCACCCATGGCACAGTCCTTTCCTGGTGTCTCTGCTATATCCCTCGTGACTGGTCATCAGTTTTTCTTGGCACTGGATCTGTAGTACCTTCAGAGCCAGTATGGGCACATTGGTCTTGGATGAGGGCACAGGGTTAGTCACTCCCAGTAAACAATGTCTAACTGTGTAAATGTTTTCCTTTCCTCTAGGAAAGCACTCTGTATTGTCCATGCTGGGCTGCTCTATTTTCTACAATTTCTTATTTATTTTTTTACCAAAAAAAAAAAAAACAAAAACAAAAACAAAACAAAACAAAAAAAAAACCCCACAACCCAAAAAAAAAAAAAAAAAAACAAAACAAAAAAACCCCAAAAAACCACCTGCTCTTTCTTACCATACTTCTTGTATGGCCCAGCTTCAGCTAAAGTTGCTTAAAGGCATACAAATGATGCTCTGAGGAGATTAAGGAATACAATCACAATTGGTGCATGATCAAAAGCAGCAGCAAAGGACAACAGCCCAGACTTGCAAAGCAGAGTTTGAGATCCATTTGTTCCAGCCAGTGATTGGGAGTGGCCTGTTGGAGAGGGGCATCATTGTTCCTGTGAAAACAAAGAAGCAACAGTGGGGCCAGTGGGATGTTTCTGAAAACCGTTTTTTCTCAAGTACTCTGTTTTAGGGGAACCTAAGGGCGGCACTGTTACCAAACAAGTTAATATTTCTTTTAAAAGGAGTGGGGAGGGTAATTGCTTTAAGGATATTTAATCATTGAATTGGGTAACAGATTGCAAGCAACCTATGGGTAATGCCCATGTGTTAGAAAAACAAACTACAAATTTAGGGACTGACGTGCTCTTCGACCAGAGAGAGAAATTTGTTTTTGAGACCTGGACACAAAGAATGCAGAATTTATAACCAATGACACAGAAACAGGAGATGAAGGAGAAACTAACAAAGACGATTACTGAGATTTTCTTTATCTGGGAAAAAGAAATAAATTATAAAAGTACTAAAATGTGGATTAATTTGCATTAGAAGCAATAAATAAATAACAATAGGTGGTAGAATACTATTTAATGAAGATAACTATGTAGCTTGTAAGTCAATGAACACTAATTTCTTTTTTTGCTTAAATGTATAAATAGTTAAAGGTTTGATAACTGGCATGTTCTGTGGAGCTATCCCCATATACCCTACCACTGAATAAAGTTATGTTGACTTTCTACCCTAACAAACTGGTTAAACAGTTTATTTCCCAGCTTTTGGTGCCAGTTTCTGGTACCCCAGATGGGACAAAGAGGTGCCAACTCAGTGGACCAGAGGAATCATCAGCACTCCAGTGCACACCAAAATATTTCCAGGGAGATCTTCTTGTTTCTTTGTCTGATGAGTAGATCACTCTGCCCTTTGTGGAAAAAAGAATACACTATTACTTAAGGTACTTTATTTGAAGGTATTTTTCCTGCCCATAAGTTGCCCTAATAGAAAGTTTGCGGTGTGAGGCTCAGAGGTTTTTCAAACCGGCTTGGGTTTTAGGAAATGTTGTGAAAAGTTGTAAAAGATTGTAAGAAGTTATGGAAAGCTTGTAAAAGGTTTTAAAGGTGTTAAAAGTTTTTTTCCTAACATGGTAAATATGGGAGTGAGGCTATCCTCATAGCTCCCATGAGAAGAGATCCCAAAGGGTTCTCTTTTGGATTCTGTCCTGAGGAACTGGAAAAAGTTGGGGGTTTGGGAGGGTGACCCCCTGACACAAAAACAACTTGTTGAATATTGTAGTCACTGGTGGCCAATATATAAACTTAATGGTTGTGAAAAGTGAGCAGTTAATGGGATTGCAAATTACAAATACCATTTTGCAAACAATGCTGTTTTTTAAAAGGAATGCAATGGACCACCCCCCATATGCTTCTTTTTTTTTTTTTTTTTAATTTTTTCATTAGTGGAATAATTCTGATTAGTGGAAGTAATGTATGCATGTGCCTAGAGATCTGATGGTGTTAGCATTAGAAGAGAAGGGATGGGAAACCACCCAAAAGATGCTGCTCTGGCTGCAGTCCAGGCTGAATCCCCAGTGTCAAGCATGTGGCTGCGGGTTCCTGTGGCACAATGAGCTGGGTGAGTTTGTCCTGCAGCCAGGGGACTAGTGCAGCTCAGCACTGGGGCTGCTCGGGGAACATCATGTGGAAAGGCTTCACCTTGGAGCTGGACTTGTGCTTTAGGATATTTACTATTTCACAAGGACAAAGGAGTTTGGTCCAGGAAGGAAAAGAGGCTGTCTGTCCAATCCTGATCCCCCTTCTAAGAGAGAGTTGAGCCTGACTGCAGGAAGGGCTTTCAGGAACTGAAAGATGCTTTAATGACTGCTCCTGCACTGGGACTACTGGGCTTTCTAGGCAGAATTGCTGCCCTGTAGAGCAGAGTAACCATCACATGTTAAATGACAGCTCCAGGTTTGCAGGCAGGATGAGCTGGATGTTCCCCCTGGAAAGCACCGTGAAGATTTCCAGGGAGTTTCTGGGCTTGACAGTACTTGACATATGTTCAGCAGACTCAAATGTTTCTGCTTGCTTCAGGCTTTTACTGTGGAGTAAACAAGAGCCTTCCAGCAAATGTTCTGCAGCTTGGTGGAGCCAGGCCTGAACAGCACTTCAGAGAGCAGCTGATAAGAGATCATTCTAATAGGTGTTCCACAAGCAGTTATTATTATTTGAAAGGCCAGGCTGGATGGGGCTCTGAGCAACCTGGTCTAGCCAAAGGTGTCACTGCCCATGGCAGGGAGGTTGGAACCCCATGATTTTTAAGGTTCCCTGTAATCTGTACCATTCTACAATTCTAAGACTGAAGAAAGCAGAAGAGACATAAACTTACATATCTCTTCTTTACTTATTCCATTCCAGTTTATAACTTGCTAATGATACAGTTAATAATGACTAGACAATTTAGGAAGAAGTTTGTGACCTGAAAATCAAGCCCCTCATTAAATTCCTTTAAATACAAAATTCCTGTGACTGGTCAACATCTGGGGCATCACTGAAGATGTTTTAGTTGTTCAATTTAGCTTTATTCTATCCCTGAAACTATTTTATCAACCTTCTCTAAAATTTTCTATGGTTGTGATCTCAACAGCAGTTAGGTTCCTAAATATGTTTGGGACCTAGTCCTAGTAGTTGGACCTTGTCCAACATTGTCCTTGTCCTTCTTATCTACAAAATAACTGTTTTTTCTGTATTTCACAGGAAATACAGGAAAGGAGACCAGCATATTAACTAAAGCTGGAATTTGGGTACTTCAGCAGGAAGAGCCATGCAGGCATTTCAAAAAGATGTGACTTGTGTCTTCATATCAACATGAACATATACATGCAATTCATGGCTGAATGAATCATCATGTGATATTTAATGCTGTGCTGCTTTAATGCTTTCAGATGTTGAATCCAGGGTAGAGACAACACTGATGTGGTTCAACACTCACCTTCTCCTGACAGCTTAGTCCAAGGTTTTACAGATGGGCCATACCTGTGTTCATCCAGTTTCATTAATATTTCTGGATGGTTCAGCATATTTGTATTGACCAGGACTGACTCACAAATTATTCAATCTGAGAAATGGCTTGCATATTTTAAATGGTGTTACTTCAATTGATCTGGTTTTGACAGCAACATTAGGAATTAATAAATGATACTATATGAATGCATTGAAAATATGATTGAGCTTTATTTCAGAGGTAGTGTTCTTGCTCCTCCTGTTATTTGATCTGTTGGTACATATGTAATATTCTTTTAATTCAAATATAAGAGCTTGTGACTACCATTTCAGAATTCTTATATACCCCATTCAGAACCAGACTCTGTTCATTCTATGTATCCTGCAGGGCATTAAGGGTCCACTGTGTACATACTGTCTATACGTATGCTGTCTTTCATTTACATGCAGATTGTTTCAATTTTTTTAAAATTTACTATAAATGATTGGCAATTTCCAGAAGTTTGGTGTTAATATTGGGTTGTAATAGACTCTTGAAAATGTCTTTTTTTGTTTGTTTGTTTTTCTTTTTTTATTTTATTTTCTCCCCCTGCTTTGAAGATCTCTTGCCATCCTGAGGAAACTTAGGCTAAAGGCAAGAGGAATGAGACTCCATCTGCAGGCACCCTGCAGATCACTAGCCTACAAAATGGCTCAGCACCTTGATCCTGCTGCCTGCTTATTTGTGCAAAGTGTGATTCTAGTGTTGTGTGCATGTAATGAATGGGCTTGGAGAATGCAAATTATCTGAAGGAGGTGTCAAAAAGAGCCATTAGACTATGCTAGATCTGAAAATATTTGGAATTTTAGTTGTTTCCCCTGCCCTACCCCCCTTTCTCAATTGACTAAGGAAGTTAATCTCAAATTCTTAAATCCCTCCCCACCTGAATTAGTCTCTGCATGCAACTATCCTGTATTTTTTGGTATCAGTAAAACCAGACATCCATCAGTGTCCTGGGAGGTCTGGCTGGGTGTCCTTGCACTCGGTGGGCACCTGTGGCTTTTCCTCTGGCACTGGATCCAGGTCTGGCACCTTCTGCCCCGCCTTGGCCACGGTGAACCTGCTCATGTGCAGAGCTTCTTCGTAGACTGGAGGGGTGTCTGATGCAGAGAGGGGAGGGGTTCCCTGGGCAGCGTTGTGGGAGTGTGCCACGGCTAATATCCTCCTGGCAGCAGGCCCAAACACTGAGTGGAGAGCTGGAAGAAAGGAGACCAAAGCTGTTTGCCTCATCCAGAAAGCATCATGTTGTTAGAAGAGGGCAAGGATATCCACAGGGCATAGGCTCTTCGCACACCCAGAATGTTTTCCTTTTCCTGCTCCTTCAGACTTCCCTAAAAGAATATGTATACGAAATCCTGCTAGCAGCATCCCACAATTCCTCTCTCCTAAAATGCCACTGAACCCTTATTCCACCCAAACATGTCTCACAGCTGAGCACCTTAGTTTGTAGGATACACAGAGGTCACTTTCCCTGCGTCCTGCCATGAACTTCCCTCTGTCAGCCTCGGGATGTCACCAGCTGGGCTTTACAGTAAAGCCCCTCGCTTCACAGGCTGTTGAAGTCCCCAGGATGGGGCAAGGCCAACTCACAAGTGATGGTGCTCTGGAGGGTGCTGTCATGGTCAAACGCAATGACGGTGACCTCATAGGGCTGGGGGCCCGCCTCATCCCCTGTCTGATGGCACTGGAAGCAGCACCTCATGCAGACAAAGACCAGGCCACACAGGAGCAGGAGCCCCCCGACCACCAGCACCAGCCTGCAATGGGAGGGCACAAAGAATTAGGACAGAAAGATTTTGTTTACAGGACACCTCTTAATGTCTCTGATTGCTTACAGCATGGCTAACCTCAAAGCTAAACAAAGTCACCTGGGGCTTTGTCCAGCTGAGTTTGGACACTATCCAGGGATGCAGATCCATCATTCCCTCCAGGCACCTGTTCAAGAGCTGCACCATTGTCAGGGGAAGCACTTTTTCTCCTGTCTAATCAGAATTTTCCTGTCTGCAGTTTGGTCAGCCACCTTATGTCCTTCTACTGAGCACCTCTGAGAAGTCTCTGCCTTTATCTTCTCTCAAGATCCCCCATGGGTAGTGGAAAACTGCAATTACTTTGTCCCCTTAGCTTCCTCCAGGCTGAAGAAACCTGTTTCTTTTTATTTGCTTTATCTGGCTTCAGTTTGCCAACATCTGTTTTGTACTAGGGGACCAAAACTAGGAATTCCAGACATCTCGTCATAAGTGACAAGCAGAGAGGAAAAATTGGATCTTGAAATCTACTGGCATACCCTTATCAATTCAGCCTTCCAGATGTTCAACAACTACCATCCTTCTTAATCTCATCATGGTGGGAATAACTAAGAAATCAGACAGAACTTACTTTAAAAATCAGTCTTTTAAAAGGCATATTGTACCACGAATGCTTTATTAATAGTGTTCATATGTCTAAATATGTGGAATAAAAAAGGAGGCTGGTGGGTCAACTTTTGTTAAAGACAATGAGATATCTGAGGGGTTGCCTTGCTCTTGCAGAGCTTTAGAGAATCCCAGGGAAAAGGAGGGGATGGCATCACTCTTGAGCAAGTCACATTTAATCCCACCCTTTTCTACTGGAATTGTCTAGAGATGCAGATATTTAGAGTAAACATGTTATCTTACCAGATATACCACAGACGGTCCCATTCTGTACCTGAACAGCTGAAGAGAAGAGGGTACAAGAAATAGTTATCCATAGAACACCAAATAAAGGCAAAGATCCCTATGGTACCCTCCTCCCTCTCCCCTCATGCTCCTCACTTACTGTCCATATTCCAGATGCCACAATGACGAAATACTCATTGTGCTTTGTGAAGGACACAGTTGTCCAACCTCAGCAATATCCCTGTCAGGTGAATTTCCCTTCTGTTGGCTTTATATTTTGATTGTTTTCCTGATATTTATCCTTGCCCAATTCCCTTTTCAAACCTTAGAGATCTGCATTCATGTTTGGTTTTTTTCTTTTTTGTCAATATATCATTTTGGTTATTCTTAAAAATGATATCACTGATAGTAATATTCACCAAAGCAGTGTATTTCAAACAATTTTTTCAAGGAAAGTTTGATTCTAAATTATAATCCCAGTCAACTGAAATTACAGCAGAAAGCTCTTAACTATTGAAGTAATGCAAATAGGCAGCAGGAGCTGTACCACACAATCAGTATCTTGATCAATAAAAATAGTAATTGATAGAGGTCATATTGAAAGTAATGGTGATTTCACATGAATTTTTAATACAACTAAATAAGATTTTCTGGAAAATGTCAACCATCAGGTCATAACACCCATGTCCAGTATTGCCTTTGTTGTTCACTGTTTTCTCTAAAGAAGAGCAAGATTGAGAAATACTTAACTGTTCATTGTTAAGGCAGCCTTCCTCACCTCTCACATGGGGGAGCTAGAAGGAGAAAAGCAGCAGAGACACAGCTAGAGTGAATGAAATTTTTGTCAAATACATCTTGTATATCTTTCATATTATGAGTCTGGATCTCCTATGGTAAGGACGTATAGTTACCTATCTTCCATTGTTTCTATTGTATATTTTGCTGTAGATTTGAAGTTACTCTTACCAACAGCATTGTTTCATATATTAACTTTCTCTAGTCCTTAAAATGTTATTTAGTACTGTTCTGAACTTCATCGTCACTACAACCTTCCCTTTCTCCACTAAAAGCCATGTCATTCCCCAGCTGTAAATCCTTCTTCATGCTCAAATATTAAGAACATTTAAAAACCCTGCTTCCTATTATACCTACCCTGGCTTGAAAACTGCTCTGTCCCTACAGCACTCCTATCCTTTCATTCCTTTCCCTTGGGTTCCTTGATGTCTGAGTTACCATCCCTGGAATAACAGCAAATATTATCTTCTCTGTGTGTGCCTTTTAAATGTCCAGCTCTTTCTAATATCTAGGAAGTTATTATTCCTAATGGCTTTTCATCTTTCCAATGTAACTCCATAGCCAAGCAGAGACTCCATGAAGAGGAAAGTCAAAGATGACTTACCCATAAGAAACTTCCTACAACAAAGCAGATCATGTCTGAGTTGTGCATCCCTGTAAGGTGGTTCTGTGGCCTCTTGGTGTTTCAAGCTGCTTGGAGTCTTCTTGTCCTATCTACTTTCAGTTCATCCTCACCAGTCCAGTGGCCAGGAGAAGGAGCAGCTTCTGTGCTGTGTATTGAATCCACTCTCTTCCTCCTACTCTGCTTCTTTCTGCCCTTCAGTTTTTGCTTTCCCTCTTTTCCTTTTTATCACTGGCATTTCCTGATTTTTTCTGCCTGTCTCTTTTTTGTTATTCTATTGGCCCACTTCTCTTCCTCTTTTGAAGGGGTTTCTAAAACCTTCCAGTCAGATCAGGAGAAGAGCAGTGGCTACAGGTTCTAACTTTAGATGTTTAACTAGTTCAGTGAAAGGCATCATGAGATCTCTGCAGGCCTGACCCTTCCCTTCTATGAGCAGAAAGGGTCTCTGAGTTTGTTCATTCCTGATTATTTCTCTCCCCGCCCCTGCCCTGAGGGGAGTGGGTTGAAAGTCATGTTACTGACCTGTTTAAATGGAGTTCAGATACCTCTCCATCCTCCAGTACCTTTTCTGCTCCTGCACTCACATTGTCCTACCTCTGACCATCCAATCTACTGACTTGGAAGTGAAAGAATGACATATAATGACTATATCCTGCATTTTATATATATATGTGTATGTGTATGTGTGTATATATATATATACACACACATATATATACCATTATATGTATATGTAAACATATGTGTGTGTATATATATGCAACATATATGTATGCATAGACATATATATATATGAATATATATATATATATATATATATTCAATGCAGCAACTCTTGTACCTCCCATTTTAAGGCTCTGCCATCATCATCCCTCTTACCTGTTCATGTCGTGCTATGTCACTCTTGCAGCTGAGAGTCTGTTCACTCACAGGTTCCACTCCTAAACTTCCTGCAAGGCCAGCTAAATCCCCCTCAACCCCTTGCAGCAGAGGGATTACATGTTGATTCTCCTGTCCTGTATACTATTAGTCCTACAGCTGGTTATATTCACAGGCTTCATTCAATGACCCATTAATTTTCTCTGTCTTGTAGAATTGCTTAAAATTTCTGTTAGTGCTCATGGCTATGCACAGTTATTACAGTCATGTAATTGGGTTCTCCTAATCTTTCTCTTTTGAATACCTGGGACAGGAAAAAATGCTCTGCAGTAATGTGTAACTATTTCTGTTTGGGAACCACCTGGGACTGGTGCATAAATGTTTGTTGAAGGCAGGATAGCAGCCAGTGAGACTTGTTGCCCCTTGTTGCAATCACAGCCCTTTCACATTAAACTGGTGAATCATTAGCCCTGGTGGTGCATTTTAGAGTTGCAGAGCAGAACCAATGGATTCATGAACATGTTTTCTCCCAAGGCAGGCTAAAACCCATTTGCCATTCTCTAATTATAAAAGTAGTGGTGCATTATAAACATGCCTTAGCAGTAGTTTATCCATCCATCCATCCATCCATCCATCCATCCATCCATCCATCCATCCATCCCTATCTGCTGGAAGGAGGTTTCTGATGTACAAATAACAAAGAAAGAAAGAAACATGTCCTACTGACATTGTATTTCTATAGGAATTGACCAACAGTCTTTCGGTCTCCTTCTCCTAAATTCTTTGGTGTATTATAGAAGTCTTAGAAGAAAAGTCACAGCAGAACTGTAAAATAGCTTTTCTTGTATGCATGGCTTTTGAAACTGGTGGAAAAGAAGTACATATCACCAATGTTGCCAGGGCTTTTTATTATCAGTATGATAATTCAATAGATCATAATTTGATTTTATCTGAAATTCAGTCATACATTAATCTCAAATTCCAGGATGATCCAAATGCAGAAATAGCAGGAAAAGTGACAAAAAAATTCCCTAAAGAAAAAGCTACACGTGACATGAAACAATGACCCCTCCAAAAGGATATAATAATTAATTCTTACTGAAACTCATTGATTAATCTTCTCCAATTTCTATGGCATTGCTATTAACACTCTGCTTCCACTGTCACCAAAAATAGGTAAAAATGCAAACTCTTTAACCAATGTAGCATTAAGAAGCAGGCATTCTTTATTTGGCTGGATGCATGTGGGGATATCCTCTGGAATATTGTGCATGCTGAGTACAGAAAAAGCTCCTATTTAGAGGCTTTATTTTACACACATTCATTGATTTTCATGATAAGCATACATACATTTAATAATCATTTCCCCAAAATCATTAACATATTTTCCCTTCTCTCTGCAGATGTGTTTTTCTGTCCTGGGGGTCTTTTTGGTGGTCCCTGGTGGCTGGTGATCCCAAAGTCAAACCTGACTGCCTGGTGAACTGATAAAAGTTGGCACAACTGGGCTGGCTCCTCTTCAGTTCTTCTTCCTACAGAATGGGCATAGTGCAGTTCCATAGGCCAGTGGTTTTTCAGCAGTGATCATTGTCTTGACCCACCAGGTGCAAACAATTCTTTATCTGGCAACATTCTCCCCTTAAGGCTTGTGAATCTTGTCTTTAACTGTTCCAGGAGGTGGCCTTTTCTTGCTATGGGATTGTTTTTTAAACAAATTGGACATTGCATTGTTACAAATTTTTCTATTTCAGTCATTTCCACACTAAGTACAGAGTTTTGGAGACTAGATGTCTGGGACTCAATTCCCCTGAGGGATTTGTTGTGTTCTTTTCCTATTACTTTCCTCCTTATAGGAAGTGGAACCTGTTGGCTGTTTGTTACTCACCATCCCTCTTGGAACTTAGTGGCTTTTAATATATTTTCTAAATATTGATCTTCACTGTCAGAATTAGCCTTCAATTATGTCAATTTATTTTTGTGGCACTAACACAAACAGAAGGTTGGGATGCCTTTTGCAGCTGCTTTTGAAGCTGCTTTGTCTGCCAGTCGGTTTCCCACTCTAACATTAGTTTGCCCAGATTGAAGTGCTTTACAATGCATCACTGCCACCTCCTTTGGTTTTTTAACTTTCAGAAGTTGTAAAATTTCTTCTCTGTGTTGAATAGGTGATCCTTGAGCCGATAGCAGTCCTCTTCCCTTCCATATGGGCATGAATCACAACAAATGCATATCTAGGATCAATACAGATATTCACTCTTTTGCCCACTGCCAAGTTCAATGCTTATTTTAGTGCTATTATCTCTGCTTTTTGTCTGATGTATTAATTGGTAAAGACTGAGCTTCTAATACCTCAGTGGCAGTCACCACTGCCTATCTTGCCATCCATTTCCCAACTTTCATGAAACGCCTGCCATCTGTAAACAATTCTAAATCAGGACTCTCTATTGGTTCATCCTCCACATGGGTTCTGCTGGAATATACCTGTTCCATGGTTTGGAGACAATCATGTGTCAGGGCTCCCTCATCCATTGCCTTTGGATCAAGGAAAACTGCTGGATTCATGGCTACTGTCATCTTCAACTCCACATCATCCTGTTCCAAGAGCACAACTTGGTATCTGAGCATACTGCTGGGACAGCCAACATTCCAACTTTTGCTCTAATATGGATGTCACCATGTGAGGGACAAAAGCAGTGATGTGCTGCCCAACCCTGAGCTTCCTGGCCCCTTGGATCAGGAGAACAGTTGCAGCAATTGCTTGCAAGCATCCCAGCCATCCTCTGCTCATGTTGTCTAGCTGTTTGGAGAAATAGCCCACAGGTCTCCTCCAGGTTCCTGACTTCTGCATCAGGACCCCCAGGCCTGCTCAGCTTATCTGCGCATCCAATTTTCCCCATAAGTCTCTCCCCAACAAGGGGACTGGGCATTAAACATATATAGAAACTGATGAGTAGTGCAGTTCTTTCCTAATTTAAATTTCATGGGCTGTAAAAATAACCAAGTTTCACTTTTCTTTGTAGCACCAGTTATATTTACCACAGTGTACATTTACCACATGTATCAATTTACACTTAACTATTAGCAATTTGCAATTTATAATTTACCAATTTATATTTACCTCATCCTTACTAAGTTTGCATTCAGTGTATTCAATACAGAATAAGCTGGCCGTGTGCTTACCAAAAATCCCACTTCTTTCCCCAGCCTCAGGGGTTCAGCTGTGGTAGAATCCCCCGTTTCCCTTCAATCTTCATCTTCTTGTGTAACAGCCTATAAAGCAAGGTCCAGCTTCCCAGCCTACGGCCATTCCCGCTCCCAAGGCCCCTTTTCCTTACCAAGTGCGCTCTGGTTTTCCTCCAATCGTTCTCCGGGAAACGACGGGAGCCCCCCGCCTCCCTTTCCCCTTGTTCGGTCTCTTCTTCCCCTTTCTCCTGCCCTGTTGCGCGGTCCCTTAGCACCCTCTAGAGTTCCAAGTAGGTTTTCGTGACTCTAGTTTTCCTTTCCAGCCTGTCACATTTCCTTTTCCCGACCTATCCCTGTTTTGATATGCTTTCCAAGCTTCATCTAACAACTTTCCTGAGTCACAGCACTCCAGTCCTTCCATTTTCTGGAGTTTGCTTCTAATATCTGGGGCCGTCCTATAAGGAAACCATATTTCTATATATAGAAAATATTTCTATCTTTATAAAAACTATAAAAAGATAGTTTTGAACTGCACAGCCTCCTCTAGGTTCTCAGGATCCAGAATAGTGTATTTTCTGGCAGTCACCGTCAATCATTCAATGAAAGTTGCAGTCCTGTCCTGCTTTACCTCACATAGTTTTGACCAGTTCATGGCTTTCAGTCTAGCATGCTTTACACCAAATAATACCCATCTGTGATACCTTGCTAAATGCTCTCCAGCCCAGGTAAATTAGGGTCCCACCTTGAGTCTGTTGGAGGAAATTTTGATCTACAGTTGCTTCTAAGTCTCCATGAGCATGTGCTTCCTCCACCTGATTTCTACACCATCTTTTTTTCTGTACTAACCAACGAGGTTAACTAATAAATCATCACTTTTCAGTCAGGGTCTTGAGTACTTCTTATGGTTCCTGGTGTAATTCCAGCTGTTTGGGTCAGCCCTGGTTTAGCAGTTACAGGATCACAGGATCATTTGTGTTGGAAAAGGCCTCTGAGACCATCCAGTCCAACCTGTGACTGATCATGACCCTATCAACCGGACCATGGCAGTAAGCACCATGTCCAGTCTTTCTTTAAACTAGTCCTGAGACAGTGACTCCACCACCTCCCTGGACAGTTCCTTCCACTCCAACCTCACCAAATTGCTTTTAGATTTTTCCACATGTCAGGATAAGGGCAGTCCCTGGCTTTCTGCCTTCTTTCTCTTTCTCCACTGCTTTAGCTTGAACTTTTTAATAGAATTACCTCCCAGCCAACCTTGAAGACAAATGGTGCGTGAAATTATCCTGTGAAGTGAGACCAGAAAGGCTTTGGCAAACCCTGTATTTAAATGCTCCTCCTAAAAGCTGCAGAGAACACAGGCTGTTGAAGAAATCAAGCTTTTCCCTTCAGTGACTGATACTGAAGCAGTGCCATATGTTGTGCTAATTCCCTTGATTCAGCCACATAACACAAAGGAAAGCAAGAACTAGAGTTGCCTGGCATAGTCCCAAAAAAGCAAGACAGCAGCTAGTGCAAAATAATGAAAAAAAGAAGTGCAGTTTTATATAGCTAGAGACTAATGAAGTGAGCCTTAAGCCCACCAGCCAATTTGAAATGACTGCATATGCCAGTGTCCATGAATCCTGAAAATTCAGAGCTCAGGATGAAACAAATTCACTGAGATTCCATGAGGGCCATCACAAGGGGAAAAATATACTGAACATATCCAGGCCCATGTTACAGCTTCAGTTGTGTCACTCCTGTGCTTTCTACTGCAGTTCAGACTTGAAGGAGGGCCACACACCTAGTGGAATGAAGAAATAAAGATACAGGGAAAAACTATAGGATGCAGTTGCTTAACTTTTTCCTTGAGTCTGGGAAATTATGCTGATGTTGCTTTTCTTGGGGGCACAGAAAGAAACTCCGACTTGAAAACAGCAGTTCAGTGGGTGCATCAGCTAGTTATTTATGGTTGAGCTATATGTGTCAGATGGCAACAGGTAAAAGCACAGTTCATTTCTGTGGTAATGCAAGGATAATGCTTTCATAACTATAGAGCACCCACAGGTCAGCACAGCACCCCTTGATTTGAGATCCCCCTTTCTAGTTTCAGCAAACTTGATGCCTCTGAAGTCCACCCCTATTTAGGACACAGGGTTTTGCTTAATTTTGTTTGTCCAAGGTGTGCAACACAAAAAGAAAAGGGCCTCCTGAAAGAAAGGAATTGGCTGAAAATGCACTATCTTGCCTATCTGGGTTGTGATGTGGTTGTTTCATGCAGTGGTCAAGGTTCCCTCTGCTGATAACAGGAAGCTGATCTTGCTTCTTCAGGGAAACTGCTCCCAGAGATTTCTAAGCACAGAGGAAAATTAGCAACTTTCTTGTCTGAGGTGACTACCCTGTTTGGGACTTTTGTAATATCGAAAACCAGACTCCAGTTTGGTTTTCCCATGTCCTTATATAGATGCAGATTCCAATTTACCCCTCCCTCCTCTGCAGGGGAAGAGTAGGAGGCAAATAGCTGGCATCCTATGTGATTCCACAGGGGGAGGGCTTGGAGTTTTTGGGCAAACAATAGCTGAGACTCTTGGACAGCACAAACTTCAGACTCTGTATTTACACCTATAGATTAAAATAATCTATCTCCTCAGCTACACAGGTAGTCCTGTCCCTTCTGGGAACAAGGATGTGCAAGAAGTTTGATGACCGGAAAATCTGTGTATACAAGTATGTTACCAGATGGGGAATCAGAGACTATGGAGTACAGGACTCACCTGTCTTTATGATAGATATACCATATTTTACTGAAAATGTGGAGCAGATGGAGTGGGGAATGCTCAGAGCCCCATCCAGCCTGGTCTTGGACACTTCCAGGGATGAGGCAGCCACAGCTTCTATGTGCAACCTGTGCCAGGGCCTCAGCACTCTTTAAACCGAATAATTTCTTGCAAGTATCTAATCTAAACCCAGTCCTTATCTGAACTATTCCCAGAGTTTCTGTTGTGGTCAGCAAAAAGAAATTAGCATTTCTAGAGCACAATATATCTCAGTCTGTTGTCGATTTCTAAATTAAGTGAGCTGTATCCTGTTATGAATAGAAAGTTGTATTTTTTTGAGTTTCAGAGTTAAAAACAAGTCAGACCAGTCAGACCTCTTTGGTTTCGCTGCCAAAGAAAAGCTCCTCAATTACCCGTTAATGGCGGTGATTAACCATTGTTTCCCTGATGCTGGCCGCTTGCCAAGAAGACACCAGGACAGACCCTCCAAGGTAAAGAGAATAGGCAGTGACACCAGAGCCAGTATGCAGATGAGAAATGCATTGCACCCCGAATTTTTACAGTTTTTACAAGAAAAACCCCTAAAATCACGAGCCAACAAGTGACTTAAGTGACGTCTAAGGATGGGAGCGTAGTCCCGTACCTGCTTGGACCCTTTTTGTTTCTCACCCTAACCTGAAAAGATACTATTAAAGAGACACCCCGGGGTGTTAAACAAACAAGCCAGGAATCTGCTAATGTCCCGTGAGGACGGAATCCCCAGCTCTGTCTGCAGACCAGTGGACAAAGCTGCATCACCCTCCTTCTCCGTGACACGCCTGAGAGCAGCGGCGGCGTGGGCACAACCCGTCGATTTCTCCCCACCTGAGCTGATCTTCTTAATAAAGGCATTAAAAAAGGAGAAAGATCTCCTGCCCATTTATTTCATATCCTTAAAGCCTGTGTCATTTCTGGGCAAAGCCAGCTGAGAGTGCGCTTGCTGGATCTCCTCTGTACATATCTTGCAGGCTGTTCCCAGTTATCACAGAGTGAGCTTTAGTGTCTCCTTGGACACTGAAGTTGGGCAAGATGAACTTGGTGTGTCTGGCTGTTTGTTCCTGTTTTTTAAGAAGTGTTTGCAAATTGTCTTGTTTGCTTTTCAGAAATACTTTGGCTTCTTCTCACCTTGGTCTGGCTTTAGCTAAAAATGACATCTGGGTAACTGATTTATGCCAAATACATGCATCCTTTCCTGCACATTGAAAAAAATTGCAAGAGAACAAAGGACAAAATTGTTCTTTGGGTTACTGAAGCCTGATCTCTGTAAAGCATTAGAAATATCACAAGCACTTATACGCAATTTCAGGCCACTTCTTTTTTTTTTTTTCCTTTTTCTTCTCTCCACATAGTTATTTTGTTAGGGTTTTATTCTGTGTCTTACCAGATCAATACTACATCTAGTTAAAATACACACAGCCTTCTAAAAGTAGGAATAGGGAAAGGGGAAGAGAGCTAGGATTTCAAAGCTCTCTGACTAGTGTTACGGAAATAAACATCCACCTGCCAAATTAACTCCCCAAATTCAACTTTGCCTGTGAAAGGCCATAACAAGGTGCTATGAACCACTGCTTTGAAGTGAGTAACACCTGATCCTTCTGACTAGAGATCTTTTGACTGAGAATTCTGTGCTGATATCCCTGTGTCGCCTCTGCTGTGCAAACAGAGGAAAGGTCACAAACATCCAGCTTCTCCCACATTAAGGACTGAACCTGAGAGCCCTGAACATGGGTCCAGTAAAATCCACAGCCTGCAAAATGCTTCAGGCTCACACAGGAGAGAATCTGAATTAATACTTCAAATGCTGAATGCTTTTCCTGCTAAAATCTTTGTTTCTCCAGGAGATGGATAGATGGGAAATAGAAATTTCCTCAGCTTCTCTGGCACTCATTGGATGCCTCAAAGCACAATCTGCTGTGTGGGCAGCCAGGGAATATTTTGAAGAGATAAAGCAGATATCTCAGAAAATCTATAAGCTTTAGTGCAGGGAGTAACCATGGCAAACAAAGTGTTTGCAAAGGCCCAGCCTCCATGATTTCTCCCAATGGGCTCAAGTGGGAGAAAACTGATTGTCATTGTCACCTAATCCCTTCAGCCGAGCTCCTGCATTCTGAGAAGCACTTCTCAGAGACAGGTACCTCGGGAAACAATGATGCCAGGTAGACCACTGGGCAGCTAGCAGCCTGTTTTATCCATGCATATGCCTTTGGATGCCAGGCTGAATAATTCAACTGGCCTGGTGCTCATTTGGCTCATTTGCTAATGGCATCAGTCAATGCCATCAGCCCAATGCAAGTTATTTCAGAAAGAAGCTTTGCACAAGATATGTCTGAAATTTGACATTCAGGTA